CACAAAGATACCTGGATCTGAGTTTGTAAGGATAGAGAGAATTAAAAATTGGCAAAGAAGAGTTTTTATAATACCCTAGTATATATAGGAAATTCTAGGCTGGGGATGTGGCTCAAGCGGTAGCGCGCTTGCCTGGCATGCATGCGGCCTGGGTTCGATCCTCAACACCACATACAAACAAAGATGTTTTGTCTGCCTAAAAATAAATATTAAAAAATATATATATAGGAAATTCTAATTCTACCGTATGCCTAGAAAAAAATGACAGATTTAGCAAATAAAAACAGGACACCGAGTTAAATGTGAATTTCAGATAAATAAGAATTATTTAATATATGTATATTCATGCAATATTTGGGATGATGTTTCTGTCTTCCTTTTTGGGGGGTACAGGTGAGAGGGTTATAGGGATTGAACTCAGGTATGCTCTGCCACTGAGCCCTTTTCTTTTTTTTTTGACACAGGGTCTCTTTAAGTTGTCCAGGCTGGCGGTGAACTTGCAATCCTCCTGCCTCAGCCTTCTGAGTAGCCGAGTTCACAGGCTGTGGCACCCTTGTACTTTTCTAAGATCGTTATTTATCTGAAATTTTACTGGACATTCTAATTCTATCTGGCAACCGGTACAACAGGGACAATCAGGACCTCGCATGAGGTTACCTGAAGACAACGCCCACCATTCCAGCCCACCCCTCCCCAAACTCACATCACACAAGGCCCTTTCGGAGTATCCCATACTCTGGAATCCTAAGCACCTAAGTCACACTCCTACAACACCTATGGTGGTCAGATTGGTTCCCAAGATCTTAAAGGAGTATAAATAAAGCTCCGTCACAACCCACAGGCAAAATCGGTGACCTGAACCCAGCAATGCCCTGAGCCTACAACAACCTACTCCCAGAACGGCCCGCCTGAAAACAGCAGGAACGCACTAGCACATATGCCAAGGCAAGGGCCTCATACAAAACAATAAGGACCAGTCCCCACAATGCCCTGCGGCAATTCTTCCCAGGATGCTTCGGGCCTATAATGACCACCTTCCAAGACGCCCTACACCACCGAAGCACTGCCGACTTCCAGGATGCTCAGTAGAGGGCGCAGGACAAAAGGGACCGGACCCCCACAGGGATTTAGGGAAATCCTTCCCAGGATACACCAGGCCTATAACGACCAGCAGACCGACTCCAACGCTGTAAGACGCAGTGCTGGCCTTCCCAGGATGCCCCAGGAGCGTGCGGAGCCGCGTAGGGGAAGGAAAGGAGTCCGGGTCTCGCCCTCAGGTCATCACGGCTCAAGACCGCTGCAGGCTCCTCGGTGACGGCTGCCGCCGCTCCCATCATGCAGCGGGGCCGTAGCGCCCGCTTCCCAGCATGCCCCGCGCACCCCGACCGCGGACACTCACCGGGGCTGGCGGCCCCAGCTCCGGATCGGCGGTGGCGGCTGCACGCCCAGACTCTGCGCCTGCGTTGCAAGCAGAGTAGGAGGGAGAGCAAGGGGCGTGAGGAGCCTAGGGCGCTTGCGCAGCCAGACGGACCATTCCTGTCGCGCTGTGGGAAGAGGGGCTATCCGAGTCGGGCCACGGAGGGAACCCGCGCACGGGTTGCCGTGCTTTGCCCCTCACTGCCCGCGTTTACTTGGTACAGTCCGCGGCCTGAAGGATCGAGAAGCTCCGGGGCTCGCGCGTGCGTGTGCGTAGCTGGAACGCGCTTTATGAAAATGGGATGCGTTGTGGGTGGAGGGCGACCACTCGGCCGGGATCCTGGATCCGAGGCCTTCTCATTTACATAATCCTAGCGCGGGACAAAGGAGGGCCTCCCGCACTGGAAGGAGTGATTTGCATATGCCTGGGAGAGGCTGTACTCTGGAGCGCAGTGATTAGCATATGGGGGGGGGTCCCTTGAGTAAAGCGCATGCGTTTAGGAACTGCAGACTAGTGCCAAGTGGCTAAATCTTGTCTTAGTTGGGTATCAGTTTGCATCCGAAGACAGTTGGCAAGGGCCATGATCCCTATCAATCTTTACACCCCTCCAAGCAGGATAAATATTTATTGATCTCTTTTGTGCCAGGCGTGTGCTGGTGAACACTTTTTTTTTTTTTGCAGTGAATAGGACAGATCTGGCCCCATCTTTGTGGCGCTATGGTCAACGGAAGATCTACACATAATTAGACTACTACCTAAAAGGGTCACACCTGGAATGGTTGGCGCATAGGAAGCTGTGGGTGCCAGAAGAAGCGCCGGCCTCAGCCTGGGATACTGGAAAGACTTCCAAAAGGTGGTGATTTTTAAGCCAAGTATGAATAGGTGCCAACTAGAATGGGAGTCTTTCTGGCAGAAGGAACATCAAGGTCAAATGCCCAGAGGCAGGCAAAACAACAACAACAACAATTGCATAGTTTGAAGAAGTGAAAGCAGCTTACTGTCCCTGAAACACGATTGGAGAAGGGAAAGGGAAATTCTACGGGCGATTTTAAAGAGCTTAGACTTTATTCTGAGTATAGGAAGCCGTTGCAAGGTTCCAGCCTTCTAGGAAGAAATAACTTTGTCACACAGCAATTTAAAACTCTTCCATGGAGTCCCATTACAACTTAAAACAAACAAACAAAACCTAAACTCATGTATCATAGCTTCAGGGTCTGTCACGTGGTCTGGCCCTATTTCTCCTTCTGGCCTCACCTACCCTCCTTTTTTATCCACTCCTGTCTAGCTCCACTTGACTTTAGATAGCCAATCTCTTTACCATCTTGCGCCTTTGATCTTGCTGTTCCCTTTGCCTGAAAATGCTTTTTCATCAGATCTTTTAATAGCTGTGCTCACAATTCCTATCTTGAAACACATGTCAACTTAAGAGGCTTTCCCTGATTATAACAGCATCTTCAGATTGGAGTTTGAACGAAGCAAGACTGGCCTTGCTTTTTCAACTGTTTGTTGAAACTGGAGCGAAAGGTGCATGGGACTTCATGGCCTGTTCTCTCTACTGCTGTATAATTTAAGTTTTCATAGTAACGTGTTAAAATGGTACTGCACATCTCTACATATTATTTTTTAAATTTATTTTTGGTGGTACTGGGAATTGAGCCCAGAAGCATTTTACTCCTGATCCACAACCTCAGCCCTTTTTATTCTTTGAGACAGGGTCTCCCTAAATTGCCAGCCGACCTAGAACTTGGGCTTTTTCTGCCTCAGCCTCCTGAATAGCTCTGCCACCATTGAAGCCAGAATTAGACAGGCAGTCAGTATAACAGGTAAATTGAGTCAGGTAGGATCAAGGAGGCCAATTTGAGTCCAGAAAGTTGGAGAGCTATTAAAATGCTAATGCGGGGGGAGAGGGCTGGGGTTGTGGCTCAGTGGTAGAGCGCTTGCCTAGCATGCACTAGGCACTGGGTTTGAGCCTCAGCATCACATAGATGTAAAATAAAAATATTGTGTCCACTTAAAACTTAAGAATAAATATTTTTTAAAAAAATGTTAACGCCTTTAGAGCCCTTCCTCCACTGTTATCAAGATAATCTGCCCCTGTTCAAACCTGTTGTTAAGGTAACCTGTCCCGACAGGGAGTTGTTAATCACACCACCTTCCAGCCCAGATCACTCCAACTTAGCCCACCTGCTTCTCACCTTTTGGCCATCTCATTGAACGTCTAGGAGAGAAGGAAAAGAGAGCAGGAGAACAAAGGAAGCCTAAGAGCTATTAAAAAAAGGCAGAACACCCTTGCTTCTGGGGATACCCGGATACCAGCTACGGGCCCCCTGCTCCCTCCAAAGAGAGGTCTATGTTACCCTTTTAAATAAACCCTGCTTTATATACTTGCCTCGCATGCTTCTCTAGTGTTAATACTGGTAACCAGCGGTATCACCAGGCCCAGCTACAATTTTTCTTTAATGGTCGTTATCACAATCTGACATTGTATAATTCCTCAATTATAGTCTGTTTTCCTCAGGAGAACTTCATGAGGGTAAAAATGGAGTCTTCATTTTAGGTGCTCAGTACCTAGAGCAGGATCAAACTTCAGATTGGTGCTTGAGAAACTGATGTGACTCCATTTTTGAAAAAAGCTTCTACCTCAAAGCTTGTCCAAGGAAGGGGGCATGACCCTTGTCCTTGGAAAAACTCACAGAGCACTTCTAGGCACATACCCACCCTGCTGAGTTGTTTGAATGCAAATAACAGGAGAGATCTGCGACCCAGATGTTCCTGACTCAGGCTAGGTGAGGACCCATAGTAACCCCCTAGCACCACCAATCAGCATGAGACAGGAAAAACATCTGGGATGCCAGATGACCCCCCCCCCCAGTAGTTTATGGTAGTTATTAACATGTTGGGAAACCGTGTAGTTTAGCATGTACTCCCCTAGTGGCTTAAACCAATCAGTTCAAAGGAATCCCCCTCTTGTACTAACCAATCACCCCTACCCAACTTGTTCCCACCAGTGAATGTGTGGAACGGTTGTGAGTCCAGGCTCGAGTTTACAATAAAGAC